GACCAGACCAAGAGAGGATATTACAACCCCCAGAAATACAAAGACACTGAGCTGTAAGGCTGGGAAAGCAGGAAGTGACATCATCACCGATCAAAACTCTTCGAACTTCTTGTCGTGTCGTCAGTTTCAGACACTTTTCGCGTCCCTTGTTGTGCAGAAAGCGTGGTGCCCCACGCACACAAACACACACAGATATCTCTGGTCTACCTTTGCCACTCGCCGTTACAGAAACTGTGCACAGCTGATGTTTCAATGTAAATATTCTGTTGGTGTCTGTGATCTACATTTTATTTTCCCGCCTTTATTCCGGGACTCAGTTTGTGCCTACCGTGTGTCACTATCACACAGTAAAACGCCCAATGTTTGGAAGGATGAGAAGCATAAAAGAAATGTAAACACGTCACTTTAAGCCATTTCAAACAGCTGGAGATGTCACATTTTTATACTCCCTTTTTGGACAGAAGAAAAATTCATGAACCTAAAACACAGCAATGCAAATTAACTATAATGGCACAATTCGGTGTCCTAAATTTAAGGTTAATGCTCTGCTGCTTAGGTCCTCTGCAGGTGGGACACAAAAGTATGAATATAATATGAATACATGAAGTGAAACTTGATGAAGAACAGTCGAGGCCAAAAGTTTGGCAGTGGCACAAATTTTTTTTCATTTGCATTATATATGTGATGCGCTTTGAAGACTTTTACTGGTAGATTTATGCAAAGAGTGAGTATTTGCAGATCTGCCCATTCTTCATAACATCTGCTGTTTTCTGTGGTTTGCTGGGTATCAGCTTCTGGGCCAAATTCTGATGGATGGTGATCCGTTTCTGTTGACCTTTGAGTCTTGATGGGTTGACATCACTTTTGCCTTGTGACATGGTGAAAATGCACCATGTTATTTTCACCATGACATGGTACATACAGCAGAAATCGTCACCAAATTGCTGCTGTATGAGCAGTTTGTTGTTTGTTTGGGGTTTTTTTTAGTATGGTCGATCCTTAAAAAGTGAGTGGACAAACAGGCAGAAGTCAGGATTTGGACCAGGAGTCAATGCCCAGCAACTTCAAACTTCAATAAATACTGGAGCAGCAAAGTGTGAGAAGCACAACATCTCTGCTACTACCTAAACTTTTGACCATGACTGTAGAAAGATTGTTGTATCACAATATGAAAGTCCCCGGTTTGAACTTCCTGGCTGGGACCTTCAGGTGGGTGTAGACTCCCTTGGAAAGCTCCGGTTCCAGGGGTTGACTGTGTTGTCTGGCCGGCCACCAGTCCAGGGTATACCTGCCTGTCCTCGAGTGATGGATGGAATAGTCTCAGTTTTTCAGGTTTTCATAATTAAACAAAATTAATGTGAAACTACAGAAATAGCTGTTGATCCCACTGAGTTGCCGAATACCATCAGTGCTGCGCGTGGAGCAGGTGCAAACCTTTTGGACACAATAAAAATGTAACAAATGTAAAATTAAAACCAGCTAAAAACACTGTAAAAATACAACTAATGGCTGTTATTGATACACCGTGCAGTTTTTTTTACATTGTGATGGTGAATACACGAGAGGCTGAAACTGAAGTGAGCAAACGTCCAAATCACTGTTACAGTTCAGACTGCACCTTAGCTTTTTCACCAATTTTGTGCGTTTTTGTGAGGCGCCACATGCTTCGGGCACGCTCCTCTGGTGTTAATTGTCCTCTAATCGCACCTCCCCTGCTGAACTACACATTCCAAAGTGGACGCCTGCGTCTGCAGCACACCGCTGTGTGAGCTGTGCAGTCTGGGAAGCAGCTTATTCTCAAGTGCCTTGCAGCTCTGATTTCAGCTCGGGAGATAAAGACTTCTACCTAAAAAGCACTTGTTTGGTTTTAACTGCTGTTGTAAACTGAAGCAAGCAGAGGTTGAAAAGTATTTTCAGTACAGTTACTGCACACTGTCAAAATACACGAGTAGATTTAAACTGGAAACATCTTTCCTTTGTTGTTTGCTTTTGCTTTAGAAGAGCATTGCAGTCACTGAAGAGATGCGAAGTCAGAAATAGGAGATTCAGATGGATTGCATGAATGCAGCATCTGTATCTCATCATTGCATGACATGGAAGTAATAATTACCAAAAGATTGCCCCCCCCCTTCTTTCTTTTGTCTTTTTTTTTTAATTTAGGACTTTGGCGAATGCAGGGCTCTTGGATAAGATGGGGAAGCTGTGCAGCTGCCTGTTTAGCATTTCTGTGTTAGACCAGCGTGTAAATGATGTCACAGATTTCATTAAAAAGTGTATCACGAGCGAGGCGTTCAGACAACTTGTGATTGAGCTATGTTTCTTTAATAGCTGCTGGCAACCAGAGACAATCACATTTTTATTTTATTTTTTTTATTGCTGATGCTTTTTCTTGTTGAAAATTTTGAATATATATTCATACACTTGATTCAGTTCAGTGTTTGTGCACTACTGTCTGGGGAATGTGGTGACAATCATGTTGGTTCATCAGTCTCTCTTAAATGTTATTTTATGATTTTTTTTTTTTGTTTATTTTTTTTGTTTGCTTGTTTTGCTTTGTCTCCTGAGTGTTACACAACAGTCTCTTGGGAAAATCTAATAAATGTTTTTTTGTTTTGTTTTTTTACACAAAGTCATATTCAGAGTGTCATGTTCCACCTTTGCTTTTGGGATGCTTTTGTTTTAGAAATGCTGCTGTCTTGCTGTCACATTGGGTCTTGTTCCATGACCCAATGTGGGCCAAGCTTCAGATGTCAGATGGCCTCACATTTGACTCTGATACTTTAGTACAGAGAGGACTTCAAGGTCAGCTCGGGGACTGCAAGGTGCCCAGGCCTGTGGCTGAAAAACGAGCCAAAATCATCCCCCTCCACCACCGTGCTTGACAATCTGGCTGTGTGCATTATGGATCACTTTGCAAGCCTTCTGGACCAATGATAAGATCAGTTTGCTCAGATGAAGCTTTGCAAACCTGAGTTGTGCTGTCATGTTCTTTTAGAGAGAAGACTACTCTTCCTACTGGCAACCCTTCTAAACAAGCCATACTTGTTCAGCCTTTTTCTAACTGAACTGTCATGAACACTAAAATTTAATGTGCTAAACGAGGCCCATGGAGTCTCAGAGGAAGCTCTTGGCAGTGCAGTGAGCGCTGCACTCGCAGACCTGGGGGTGAATCCACTGGCAAGATTGTGACATTGTGTTAAAACACAGCTAATATAGAGGTGGTCACACTTGCTGTTTGTCAGCAGCACGTGACTACTACCTGCCCTCTTTATTCCTATGGAAGCAAATAAGTGTGTACTTCAATCAGTCAAGTGAAAAAACTGTTCTAAATTTATACTTGAGAAAAGGTCAACTCCACCACTGGTCCAGTTTTAACTACTTTTCAAACAAAAATAAACCAAACATCACAGACTGCTGCCTTTTCCTTTAGTTTATTCTGCAGAATTATACATGCAACCTTTACAACTTCAGCTTTAAACTCTTTATCACTTGTGTCACCCTGACATTTTATAGGTCCAACATGATTAGAGTACATTCAGAGATTATACAGCTATTTAAACCAAAGCTAATATTGGCTCTGTTCTCCACCTAAATATACACAAGAAAATCCCAAATTTCTCTTTGGTCAAACATAAAACGTCACATTAACACTCGGCCTAGTGAGATAATCTGCCTTCTGCTGTCACATTGGAGATGTACATGTTTACATGACAGTCAACTGTACAGATTAAGGCAAGTCAAGTGATATCAAACAGGGAAGGGTGAGGGGGGATAAAAGGGATTTAAAACGGAGACAGGCGGGAGTGATGTGTCGAGCGAGACGTGTGTGTTCAGATGTAGACAGGTTGTTCCTGTGCTGTCAGCAGACGGTACATGGCTGCAGGCATCGTCTTCATGTGGATCTGGAGCAGAAAGGAAAAAGTGCAATGAGCAAACTAAACTCTCCTTAAATGAACCTTTTCCATGCAAGAATAACTTTTTGTAGAAAATTACAATAGTTTCTTTTTTAAAGATGTCACATCATTTGTGTTAAACTGTGACACAGTTTGGGCCGGTATCAACCAGGGATGTACTTTGTTTCAGTGAATGCAAATGTTTACCTTCTTCAGGGCCCAGAGTTGATTAATCAGTGTGAATTTTCTCCACTGGAAGGCAATAAATGGTAAATGGCCTGTATTTGTATAGCGCTTTTACTTGGTCCCTATGGACCCCAAAGCGCTTTACACTACACTCAGTCATCCACACATTGGTGATGGCAAGCTACATTGTAGTTACAGCTGCCCTGGGGCGCTCTGACAGAGGCGAGAGTGCCGGACACTGGTGCCACCGGGCCCTCTGACCACCACCAGGAGGTAACAGGTGAAGGGTCTTGCCCAAGGACACAACGACCGAGACTGTCGGAGCCGGGGCTCGAACCGGCAACCTTCTGATTACAAGATGAACTGCCAACTCTTGAGCCACGATCGCTCATTTGAAAAATATTTTATTACAGAAGGCTACCCTGTTGAATAACTACCCAATTGTGGTGTAGGGGTTTAAGTGTACTTCTGGTCTTGGCGTCTGATAGGGTCTCCTACGGTAAACTGGTCCCTGGGGAGGGGCTAGACTAAGGAAGTCCTAATGAAACTTAAGTCTTGGCACTGCATAACCACTCGTGGAAGTGGGCTCTGGGACCACCTCCTCCAGACCTGGCCACCAAACACTTAAAGCTCATGAATACACCACTCATGTCTTATACATGAGTGATGGGAAGGCAGAGCCTTGGTTGTGCACCTACTGTACTGGACTGTTGTGCTGAACAGAGAGCTGAGCTGTCCATCCAAGTTTTGACCCTCAGTTATAGCCACCTGTGAAGATCTGGGTAATGACTGAAAGAGTAAGGTTGAGAATTCATGGGGCTGAAATAAGTCTCACCTGTAGGATGGGCTCAGTGTTAGGGACAGGGTGAGGAAATCTGGAATGATCTCATATTCATAGTGAGGAGGCAAAACTTTAAAGTTATTGTGCTAGATAAATCGGTTAATGCCGAGAGGACCAGGTGGAATGGACTGATTGATTTTTTCATGGCGTGACCCACTCATATAATATAACGGAAGGATTATTTTCAACTGTAAGTCATGCAAAGCTGCCCTAGTAAAGTCCAAGACTTTAAATATGGAGCTGAAAATGACAATAAAGCATCTCCTTGAAAGTGAAATGGTGCTGTGCTGCACAAAGAACCCTGGGATTACAGCTTTAAAGCCATAAAAAGGCTTTTAATGTGAAATATTGATGCAGGTAGGAAGGCATTCACTGAAGCAAGTCTTTCAGCTGCAGCTGTTTTCCTGATGGAACTGAGGCTGATTTTGAGACAGTTTCAATAATAAATCGAGAAGGCCTATAAAACGGGAATTTACATGTTAAAGATATTTTAGGATACGTCTCAAACATGTTTTTTGCTGCTGAGGTAAATAAAAGAACATATGTGGCCATTTTGAGTATTTACCTCTCCCATGGCATTGGACAGGATCTGAACAATCTTCTCATGAGGAGTCGCCACGACGCTCTGGCTGTTGATCTCGATGATGCGGTGACCGACGCGGACGCCACCTCTCTCAGCGATACCGCCTCTCATCAGACTGCAGATCTGCACAGGAAGGAAACACAGAGGGATTTGGCTTAGTGGGGACACAGCCGATGCCAAATCTAAGAATTTGACAAGAAGGACAATTCATTTAATTTGTTCCCTGCAGCTGCGAGTGAGTTTCAGTAGCTTCAGATACTCACTATGCCATTCTGGACGCTGAAGCCCAGCTGGTATCGGAGATCCGGCCTGCGAATGAGCACCATGGTGACAGGAGGGCACCTGACAATGTTCATCTTGATCCTGGACTGAGACTTGAGACCCTGGGGAAACAGCAATGAGACAGATCCAGCAAACATTTAAGAACCCCTTCTGCTTGTAAGGGGTTTAAAACAAGATGAAAGGTGGAAAAGAGAGAGCAGCAGCGTACCTTGATGATGCTCTGGCAGGTGCTGAGAGGTAAACCCACCAAGCTTGTACCATTTATGGTCATGATCTGATCTCCGATGTTGAGTCGGCCAGACTTCTCCGCTGGGCCGGCGTGCATCATGCTAGCGATGATCACTGTGGGGAGGATTGAACCCCAGCCAGACTCCACGATCACCACGCCAAGGATCTCGCCTTTTTGCTTCTCGATGTAAACCTGAACGTGAATATGACCTTAGTTTCTTTAAAGATACCAAATAATGCTCATTTACAGCTTCAAAGTTGCATTTTGGGGATTCTAGTAGAACAAATTTTGTCACTCTCTCTGTGAAACGCTCTTTTAGATTCTGTTGGCCCCTAAAATTTGTTTTAAAAAAACTGAAACTCCCAATTTGCTCTCAGTGGAGTCGGATATCTGATATAACTCTGTGAGGAGGGGCTCAGGCTTCCAAGAGCTCTCAGCCACATAAGGTAGCGGATCTTTGTTAGTCTGACATCGTGCCAAACAAACAGCCAGATGACTTGGATAATGAAGCCTGGACTACAGTGTTTTTAGGCAATTTAGCAGCAAGTAGCTGTGGCATCAAACTCAGATATAGAACGTATATATGCATAGCTGTATGTGTTAATGAAGCCTCAAGATGGATGTCTTAGTGCTTTAAATCCAAATGTGAGGTGTGTCTGAAAAGTGAAGGAGCACACCAATTTCTCAATCACACAGTAAAACATACCGTGCTTTATCCTAATTTTTACCCTAGTGTGTGCCATAAATTACAAAATTAACATCCCGTTGTGTTCAGTAAGACCTGAATGTGCAACTGAGACCACAAAATTCTCAAGAAAGTGCTCAAAGAATGACTTAAGGGAGCCAAAAGGCCATTATCCCATAGACCTCCCTATAACCGGCCGCCCCCTGCTGGCCACTAGATATGAATGCAGGTTTATGGCACTTCAGCTGACATCCACCTGAACACTGGATTGGATAATCTCAAACAGGATGTAACATTTAATCTGCTGCTTCTGCAAGCCACTTTGCAGCCCACCTTCAATTCATGTCATCCATTTTGTACTCCTCATGCTGTTTCTGACTTAACTAATGATGCAATACAATACAATACAAGTTTATTTGTATAGCACATTTAAAACCAAGGGTATACCAAAGTGCTTCACAACAACACCATAAACAGATACGTCTGTTTTCACTGATGCTGGGAAATTTGCAGTTGCTCTCAAGCGTTATCCTTTCCACATATGTGCATGGAGGAGCAGATACAGTCAAATAAAACTTCCTGCAGGTTTTGATTAAAGGCGTCCCCTCTGTCTTTTTTGTGGACTTCATATCAAACTAAGATGTGAATCGCACCAAAGAAAAAGAACTTTACAGAGACACTTTGGACACATATCAACAGTCACCTTGACCAATCCAAATCTACCACAGTCCTCCCAGTTCGGGCTTCTCGCCGCCAACCACACAACTCTGAAAAATGTGAGATGACAGCAGGCAGCGAGAGCAGGGAGGAGGCTCCGAGGTCAGAACAGGTTGAGCATCACAAATTCACCTTTATACTGAGGTTAGGAGTTTGCTCTTTTTAATAAAATGTCATCTCTCAGTACAACTGTCATGCAGCTGTGACTCCTAAACCAGATGCTCATGTAACAGCACTGCGAGGCAAACTAACAACACAATGAGCAGGAAAAACATTAATAGCCTGACCTGAATTAAAGAGATGTGTTGCTATTTTTATCTGAAAGATTCATCCGTATGCAGAGTGGAATATTTTTATCTTGCAAATGCAGACGTGTCCCTGTCGATGATGATTAAAACCTCCCGACTGTGCCGCCACCTGCTGGCTGACTTACGTCTCTGCAGTTCTCCGACTTGGAGAAGTGGAT